TTCCCCAAGATAAGAGTGACTGTCCCTTCTTCATCTTCCTTAGCCACTTCTGTCTCCATTTTTTCTACTTTAAGTATGTATCATCCCTTAGAAACACTACTTATCCTGAGTTGACTCACAGCAAAGCCTTTTCTTTCTATTCCATCAATAATTCATACTCTAGCAAATGAAATGAATGACTGTCAGTGACCAGACATCATGTCTCTGTCTTCAAATGGCTCATGGGCCGGCAGAGATGTCAAGTTTTTGTGATGGTCATTTCTGAGCAGAGTTTAAGGAACCCAGGAAAGCACCAAGCACCTGCTGGAGAAATAAGAGAAAGCTTTTCGGGGGATGAGGTGATGTCATGACAGTCGAGGGACTAGTGGAGTGGCTGATAAAGGAGCTGGTGATGGGAAAGCTAGGCTGTCCAGCAAAGGGGCAGCATCTGTAGACATTTTAGAGACAAGAAGGAGGAGTTTGAGAGCATCTTAGGCCATTTGGGCTGCCGTGACTGAATACCATAGACTAGATGTCTTGTAAAGGACAATTTATTCCTCATAGTTGTAGAGGCTGGGAAGTCCAAGGTTAAGAACTGGATGATATCAGTTCATAGCCAGCCTGGGCAGAAAAGTCTGAGAGACTATTTCCAATTAACCAGCAGAATGCTGGAGGCATGGTAGAGTGTCACTTAACATGATAAAGAAAGTCTAGCAAGAGTGTGAAGCTTTGCATTCAAGCCCAGGTACTGGCCCAAGAATGGAAGATCATGTATTTGAATATATAAGGAGATAATTGTTCACTTGGATGGGAGTGGTTTCAGTGGGGTGATGTATTCTTGCTTGTAATGATGTGGAAGCATGCACAATATGACAGTTTCCATCTGTTGTAACTGACGGAAGAATCGATGATGCACCCATTTGGTATTTAAAGTTGATGCACACTGTACTGTGTTCAATCCTTAAAAATCCTACCTAGCTTTCATTGGCCTTTACACTGAGCCACAATCTTGTGTGCAGGAAGAGAAAGAGAAAAGAAATGGAAGAGCAGAGCAAGGAAGAAGAGAAAGGAAGAACATGCCATGAAGTTACTTCTTGCTGAAAAATTCTGAATGAAGCCAGTTTTTCTTTTTCTGTGCTTTATGTTCAAGCTGCTGCTGTAGCTAGAGGACCTCACAGCTTTGCACCGATGGAGTGTCCTCATTGTTAGGTTGTGGGGCCCAGAGCAGCTGGCTTTCCCACTGCCTTCTACTCTCTACCATTGCTTACTACATCCTCACCTTCTGCACATGCTCACTTGTACATTTCCTGCTCCATGGAGGAAATAGAAGTCATCATGTAGGAGTTCTAAACATATGTCTCTTCATTCCTTTCAACACCCTTTTTTCCCCCATCTCAGAAAAAGAGAGAGCCCCATTTCCAGTCCAAGACCCTTCTTATTTCCTAATAACATCTAACAATGCTTTTTTTTTTTGCCATTCTTGGAGCTTGCACTCAAGGCCTGGGCATTGTCCTTGAGCCTCTCTGTGCTCAAGGCTAGCACTCTACAACTTGAGCTACAGTTCCACTTCCAGCTTTTTCTGTTTATGTGGTACTAAGGAATCAAACCCAGGACTCCATGCATGCTAAGCAAGCACTCTACCGCTAAGCCGCGTTTCCAGCCCCTCTAACAACTTCTTAGTCCTTTTTTAAAAATAGGATTTAAACTACCACAAACATGCTCTTAGCAATTCTCCATCTAGAGTTTAAGCCTGTCTCCTGTCAATTAAGTTCAGTGGAATCTTCAGAAGCAACCTGCTAGTTTATCTTTTACTGCCCAGATTTGTTTCTATATCACTTAGTGGAATTAGCCACTGAAATCAGTAGTCTACGAGGGGAAATACCTAATTGTTTCTTAAGTCCATTGGAGCGTAGACTGTTGTTCTTCTACTTCAGCATCTCTCTCACACAGATCCTATTCAGCATCACTTTTCTTGTTACCTTTGTCAGTGTACTGTTTCTTACCTGGCCTTGACATTGTCTTCCAACCAACCACATTGCCACAAATCTGCCTATGTTTCTTGTCTGCTTAAATCTTTGTAATAGTTAATCTCCCTGTTGGAAATAAAAGTGATTGAAGCATTCTTCAGGCCTGCCATGACATGACCTTTGCCATGGGTTGCCTCATCTCTTCCAAGTTTCCTCGTGCGCACCTGTATCCCACTCACACTGGAGTTATCCAGGCCACAAGCAGCCAGTGTTCTTTTGCATGTACCTTCTTCCTGATGCCTGGTGAACTTCTGTTTCTTCTTCAGTGATGCTGACGATAAAGCCTGTGTGATCAGCCTGATGAGAATTTATTTTCATCATTTCAACCTGTCAGGTTAGAGGCCACATGTTCTCCACTTTTACACTTTGGATACTTCTTAAATGTTATTTTTATGTGGTCATTCTCAATTCAGTGTGATTGAGTTTTGGTTTTTTTTTTGGGGGTCCGGTCGTAGGGTCTGAACTTTGAGCTGGGCGCTGTCCCTCAGCTCTCCAGCTCAAGGCTAGCGCTCTACCACTTGAGCCACAGTGCCACTCCGGCTTTTTTCATTTTGCTTATGTGTTACTGAGGAATCGAACCCAAGGCCTCAGGCATGCAAGGCAAGCGCTCTACCACTGAGCCATCTTCCCAGCCCCAGCGTGATTGAGTTTTATCCTCAGATTATTGACTTCTCAAATCATCAACAGCATGTATCCACTTTATTGTGGATTTAGATCTAGAACAATAAGAATCTTTGTACTGAATTATTCTACTAAAATATGAAAATAGCCACCCTAATTATTGCAGGTGTGAACAAAGAACAAGTAGAAAAATAGTTTTCATGTCTATTTGGAACCTATCAGAATGAATGTGATATTTTATATAAAAAAAGATTCAAAATGCTCCAAAAGAGGTTCAAAAAAGCCCAAATGTTCTGACTGTACATACTAATCACCTTTGCAATGTACTTTCCCAGGCCCCCCCCCCCAGCAATTCGTTTTCTTGACTAAGCTAGGCATGATGGTTCACATGTGTAATCCCAGAATTTGGGAGGCTGAGGCTTGGGGATTATGAGTTCCAGGTCATCCTGAGTTACAAAGAAAAAAAAAAAAAGAAAAATAGAAAAGAAGAAATCTACACTAACAAGATCTATAGGTATTATTTTAAACAGTTAATAAAGAAGAGTTATATATGACTGAAGGATAGATAGTATATTAAAATTGATTATAGGAATTTTCAGTAAAAATTAGGAATGTTAAAATAATTTAGAGAAACAGTTTCATTTTTGTCCCTAAGGAGAGAATCTAAATGGACAGAAGTACATAAAATGATAAACATTACAACCCCATTCCCCCCTTTATTTATTTTTTTACCAGTCCTGGAGCTTGAACTCAAGGCATGGGTACTGTCCCTGAGCCTCTCTGTGCTCACGGCTAGCACTCTACCACTTGAGCCACAGTGCTACTTCCAGCTTTTTCTGTTTATGTGGTATGTAGGAATCAAACCCAGGGCTTCATGCATGCTAGACAAGCTCTCTACCACTAAGCCACTTTTCCAGTCCCTGTCCCCCCTTTTCTTAAGGTAGAAAATAGCATTTCATTGGTGTTTGAACTCAGGACCTGAACACTGTCTCTAGCTTTTCCACTCAAGACTGGCTCTCTACCACTTGAGTCACAGCTCCATTTGCAGATTTTTTGGTAATTAATTGGAGATAAGGGTGCTATGGATTTTCCTGCCTGGGCTGTGTCTGAACTGGGATCCTCATAAGCTAAGATTTACAAGTATGAGCCACTAGCTCCTGGCTTTGTTGTTACAATTTATTATTATCTCTCTAAAAATACTTTCCACATTTCTGATTTTTTCCACATGGCCATCACTGCTCTGTTAGCCTATCTGAGGAATAGTAGTTACCATTTCCCCTCCCCCATCCCATTCTCAGAAGCTAGAAAATCTTCTACTTGTACTCTCTCAACCACGTTCTCTTTCATTCCTGCTTATCAACACTATTATCCATGAAGACATTATTGGAGTTGCACAGGTTCAGAAGGCAACAGCAAAGGTGTGAGAATTGAGCCCCCAGGTTCGTGGGCAGCATGTAGCTGTTTAACTGTCCATGTTACATAGGTCCTCTTGGATGGATGGGTTTGCCTCAAGCACCACCTAGATCAAAAAGTAAATCAGCCATGATCCTGTGCTATTTGTATTTCTTCTTGAATACAACCTGAAATGGAGAGTTGATTTTTAGGAGAGCAAATCACTTACATAAAATTTATAGTCTGCAGAATAACCATGGACAGATGTATCATTTACTTAATTCTCTACCAAAGAGACAGAAAGGTTTTACCAAAAAAAAACTACCTCTCATATCAAGAAGTATAAAATAGATACACAGTGTGTACAAAATAGGAATGTACAACTTAAATTAGCACAGCTCATATACCTATGGGACCATTATTTTATTCAAGAAGAGAATGAGCCAGGCATGGTAGTACCTGCCTGTAATCCTGACACTTGGGGGTGGCAGTGAGGCAGGAGAATACCAGTCCAACCAGGGCTACAGAGCAAGACTCTGTCTCACAAAAAGTGGAGGGGATGGTTCCAGTACCCCATTTGCTGCTGCTTGCTGCCATGTGCCATCGGCGTACTTTTACTCACCCTCCCGATTCTGCCTTGAACCTTGAAAATGGGAGTCTCCTTGCTTTCTTTGGGATTGCATAAATGAAAGTAGAAGCATGGCCCTGAGAGGTTGGGGAGGGGTGAGGGAGGATGCCAGGCGAGGTTTGGTAGAACTGGAACATATAGCATTGTTATCTGGGTTTTAAAAATCATTGCTCTCCAAGTCCATTCATTTAGGCATGGGCTAGAGCCTGTGCTGATATCTGCTTCACAGACTAAAACCTGCAATTGTTCAGTTCCTCCAGAGTGCGCCCAGTTCCCAGCAACTCACTCACAAGGGACTGGGCAGCTGGTATGTATCTGCTGCCCAGTAGTAACTTGTTTCTGCACAATTCCAGGACGCTAGCTTATTGCCAATGGGTGGACAATCTCAATGAGACCCGGAAGATGCTCTCTCTTAGCGGTGGTGGTCCCTTCAGTAACCTGCTGAGGTGGGTCGTGTGCCACATAACCAAAGGAATTGTGAAGCGGGAGATGCACGGCCACGGCATTGGCCGCTTCTCAGAGGAGGAGATTTACAGGCTGATGGAGAAGGACATGCGGTCGTTAGCTGGGCTTCTGGGTAATGTACCACACCTTTTATTCCGTATTTTATATCCTTTTTGCATGTTTAGGAAAGCACTGCTGATTTACTGTCTTGTTTTTTTACTTATTGGTTGTTTTCATTGCTTCTACTTGTAGGCTACAGTTCCATAATTTAACAAGTCTCAAATCTCAGGAGTGTATTTTGTTTTGATCACTGTTATTTGTTTTTAGTGAAGCAAGGCTATGGGTAAAGAGTATGGGACAGACCTAGGCACCACTAACTAATTGTAAGTGATGCTGATGTTTCTGTATGCACCATGAGAAAAGGGCGATTTTGAGCAAAAGCATTCTACTTATAAACACATCAGGTGCCAAGGTTGATAGGGAACACATGTGCTCAGAAGGTTTGATACTATATCCATTGACATCAAGTACAATTTGAGAGACACGTGACAGTGCTGGTTCTGCTTACCCAGTGTGCATGTGCAACATTTTTATTTGTTTGTATCCTTATTTCTTTTTTTTTTTTTTTTTTGGGTCCAGTCATGGGGCCTGAACTCTGGGCCTGGGCGCGGTCCCTCAGCTCTTCAGCTCAAGGCTAGCACTCTACCACTTGAGCCACAGTGCCACTTCC